CCCCATTGGGGACCGGCAGGGGCCTCGGGCCCGGTCCGTGTCCTCTGCTCTTCACGGAGGCATTGGCCTGGGGCCCGGAGCGAGCCACGGGGGCGGGGGTGAGGGGACGTGGGGCGTGATGTTTTGTTCAGTTTGGGGCTGTTCAGTCATGAATGGGTTTGGGAAGGGGGACAGCTTGGGTGATTCATAATTTCTAAGGATGATTCACGCAGTGCTGTTGGTGTTGGCGTTACTGGGCAATACTTCCAAGTTTCCAAAGGGAAGAAAATATCATGTTGTTAGAAAGGAAGGAAAAATAGCAAAGGGTAGAGCTGAAGCTAAAAAGTGATGGCTAGTAAGAAAGCAAGGCTGTATAGATTTTGTGTCCTGTACCATTGCATTAAATCAAAAATGGAAAAAGCATACAAAGCAGCAGTGAGGAGAGGGAGGGCTAGCCAGGCTGTTCATATCATCTTACTGATATTGATGTCATAATCCTGTAAGATCAGACAAACATTTGTTGTGCGGTGGTGTTGTCAAGTACTCATTTTGTAAGGATTATGTGACTGTTTTTCTCTTCATTCCTGTCACAACACGATCAAGTTTTAAGAGAGCATCTAAAATGTAATGGTGTTTGGACAGTGAAGAAGTGGGATAATTATGATTTCAGATGTAACCGCAGCTCAGATGGATAATGTTATTTCAGAACAATGGGCAAGTGTTTTCTAGCGCTGCTTGCAATTAGTTATTTGAATGTAACAAAACGAAAAGGCGAGGCAAAAAAAAAAAAAGAAATGATGGACTAGATGGTCAGTAGATGGCCAGTCTAACCATCCCCTTAAGCCTGCAGAAGCCAACGTTAAAAGTCTCCTAATTACATTAACTGGACCAAAATTCTATTCACTAGGTGTAGGAGTAATCAGAAAGCATGTTGTGAGTCTAACCTGAAAACCATCACTGCTCTACACTCTGCTTGGAAAGATGTTGGCGCAAGAGAGAATATCCACACTGTAATTTCAGTTATTTAAAGAAGGTGCCTGAAGTCTACACAGGTTTCCTGCATAGCCAAGGATGTCTCCAGAACTGCCCACTGGGGGCTCTATTCACTCTACAGGGAGCAAAAGTTCCTAAAGTAAGCAAAAAAGTTAGATGCTGTAATTCAGATGATGCAAATATTCCCTCTCTCTACAGTGGCTAATTTACTCATTAGCCAGCTAGCCAATACCTACTGGAAGTTTGCTGAATTGTACTAAGTTTATTTTTTCTTAATCATACTCCTTAATATCTTACATGATGAATTTCGTTCCTGAGCCGTAAACCTTGAAGATGGGCGGGCAGCCTTTCTCTTGGCTGAAGACATATTTTTAAAACTCTTAACTCTTCATGTTAAATATACAGCAGTTCTTAACTGCTGCAGAGAATAGAGACGGATTTGTTTGGTGCTACTCATTACGTATATATGAAACTTACTAGACATACAATAAAAAGTTCAGTATACACAGACCTCTCTGCAGTCTTCAGTGTATGTATTTAATAAAAGGACATATAGCAGAGGCATATGGGAAAAAATACCTCTGTCCGTAAGTATAGGCTAGAGACAAGGTAGCTTAAAGGTTCAAAAGAACTTTCAGCATTTCTCTTACATCCCGTTCTGTCTCTCTATGTATCTTGTCATTCTCTAAAACAGTGGTTTGTAAAATAGGGATTTCAAGGGATAACAGTAAACAGCAGAAAATCATGATTAACTGCTACAGTGTCATTAACTTAGAAATATGGTACTTTCCTACAGTGATATATCTACTGTTTAGGTGGAATAACTACACTTTCATCAGCCTATAAGCCAACTGTGACAACTAAAAAAAGATGTCAGCAGTGTTGCAAGCTTTACTAATTTTGTCAGGACTCTTAGGACGCTCACTGTTTTTTCTTAAAGCCCCTTTTTCTGGGATCATGGTCTTAAGTACATATCATGAATTTATTTAAAGAAAACTTCCAGTCCATGTGGCTGGAAAAAAAGGTGAAAAAACCCCACTTCATAATGTGTCTTCTTAAAGCTAAACGCTAACAGCCCATAGAGTAAATTAAAAGAATCCAAATTTTAACAATCAGAATTTTTAAACTTGTCTCATTATTTTTGTGGCCTGACACAGTTTTGGAATATCTTAGATTGTTCGTTTACATCAGTGATACCAATTTACTTTTGGAAGTATTTTATTCAATTGATTGCTCTAACTGAAAAGTATTGCACTTTGAAATCCCTTACAAAAGCAAGGTACCTTGCAATGGAACATAATCATGACAGCCAACAGAGAGCAGCAGGCCTCGTAAAAATTTACTTGAAAGTACTCAACAATTCATTTTACATGCCTACTTGCAATTATTTGTGTGAGGAAAAGAAAATCCCTAATTCTCTAGTCCACATCATCCCCCTAAGCAGGTCACATACCATTCCACAGAAGAAAAGCTGGCTTGCCCAGAGTGAGAAACTTTCAGCAGCATATAAGGATGGAAACGTGCTGAGATCCAGAAGGATCAGGAAGCAGAAAGGTCTCTGTCCCTTAGCTTTTTTGTCAAAGAAATATGCTGCCCTCAAGGGCACATTTCAATAAAAACTAGGCAGCTTTTATTTGTGTTAAAACTGATAGTGCTCAGATGGGCTGCACCAACAGGAACAACTGGTCTGCGGTAAAGCTGACTTGCAACGAAAACATGAATTTGCCATGAAAAGCCAAACCAGGAAACTGTACCAGAGCAAGGCTAGTTGCAGGGACCAAGGCATCACAGACTTACATGTGAATCAGGCTTCATCTCAGATACAGAAGGATGCGATACACTTCCTTAGAAAATGTGGGTAGATTCATCAGTACAGTGCAGACAACTACTTTTGGGCTAGCTGATGAGTTCCTCTACAGTCAGTGGACTCCTCTTCTGGGGCGTGATTCACTTCATCTTGAAATATATGTCTGAAATAGGACAGATGAGCTGGGCCCTAGAAACATCTGCTCCTCTCCTCTGACTGTAAAGGGGAGGCTGAGATGACGAGCAGCTGTAGGTATCTACAGTACAGTTGTCCAAATTTAGCTGAGATGCCTCCCACATAGTGTGTCCGTATACCTTAGATCTCTTCAAAGCTACAAGTACCACCAGAGGCACCAGTGGCAGGGCTCCAAAAGAAATATTCTTCAAAACATATTATCCAGAAAAGCTTGCTGGGCTGAGGGGCTATTAAACGGTGTAAAAGTGATGGGTTCGCTACACTTCTTATTATAAAGAGGGACTTCAGATGTAGTTAATTCCGTGGTAAATTTGAAGCATGATACCACTTTCATCAATAGCCTATAATACTGTGCATGTACTTAACCCACTACGGGGTAGGAATCAGGCATCACTGCAGCACACTTAGTCTACTGTAAATCCACACGCTAGTTTCCCCTTATGATAACTTGCCTGTGTAGCCCTACTACCAAAAAATTCATTCAGGGCAACCCTCATACGAGGACCTCATACGAATGTGGTGCCTTTCAATTGTATTTAAGATATAGATAATAACAATAACAATAACGATAATAATAATAATAATAAGAATTATTATTATTTTATTGCTACTACTATCAATACTGTTACTACCACTTTATCAAACTGGACCTGGGAGTCCCATGTGTTAGGCATGGTGAAGACATACTGTAAGAGGTGGCTCCTGCCACTGAGAGTTTTCTGGGAAGAAGGGAGAGTTGTTCGTAGTCTTTGCCCCAAAACGGTACACATGAGACAGCTAGAGCCCATGAATGCTATTAGCAAAGGCAAAGATAGCGTCCACAGTTGGTCTAGTGGCAAAATCCACTTTTCTTCAGAGTGTACCAGTCAGGAAATGCAATCAAGACTCTTGCAGAGATTGGTGGAAGCAAAATTTTTTTTGGAAAACAAGACAGAGGAAAAATAGCCTGCTCAACCCTAAAACTACAACTCTTCTTCCCCTCCCTTCCTATTGAAGTCCATCAGGGGAGAAAGATTGGTGAGGTGACAGGAGCACGCCCACCAGTTAGCTGGTCTGCTGGATACACCTACGCTTCCTATTTACTGAGATAAAAAGAAGAGAGTCAATGCCACACAATGCCTGAGGGAACAGCAGGAA